CAGAATTGTGTGCGCAATAAAGTGAGACTGAAAAGGCGCTCATTAGCCCTCCCCTTGTCGCGGGGATAGACACACTTGCTGTGAGGAAACGATAGCGTCGTCGTATTGCGGCCACAGGAGGCGAGATTAGCAGCTGCTGCAGATGCTGGCGGACTGTATTGGGTGCCTGGAAGGGCGTGCCTTCCGCTGAGCGCCAGCCTGGCGGCTCCCCTACTGGTGCAGCTGCTGTTACTGCTGCTGTTGCCTTCTGCGCAGCAGAAATGGCCGCATCTGGCAGTCCAGCCGAGGGAAAAGAAGCCGGTGCTGCTTCGTATAGTTGTCGACGCCCTGTCGCTCACCCCCTTGCTGTTCCTGCTGCCGCTCATTGTGCCCCCTGCTGTAAATCCTCTGCCTGAGGTCTTTCCTCATCCACTGCTTCGGCTGCTGTTCGCATTTGCCGCCGCTTTTTCAGATGCAGCGCAGATGTCTTCTGATTCTGATGCTCGTCCTGCCGATAAGTAGCACAGCTTTTTGCGGGAGCAACTCGGGGAATCTTCGTTGCACGCCTTGCGTGTTGCATTCAATGTTTATGCGTCTGTTTACGCCTTGTTCCGTTTCTCTACTGCTCTTTGTTTCTTTCCTTTGTCAATTTGCATTTTCAGCCATTTCTCTTCGAGGTGTTGTTGCCTTCTTCAGCAGCAGCGGTATCTGTTGAAGGACTCAGATGCGTGCCATGGTGAGTCTCAACCCCTAAACTCAGCCCCTGGGCCCTTGACCCTGAGCCCTGACCCCCCAACCCTAAACCCTAAACCCTAAACCCTAAACCCCTACGTCCTAAACCCTAAACTCTAAATCGTAAAAGCCATAAACCCTAAACCCTAAGACTCTAGAAGCTGAGACAGATACTCCACGACGACACACGTTGTGCCCTCTGAAGTTACTGTTGTCCCAGCTAAGACATTTAGGAGTTCCTCGTCTCCCTGCCGGTGGCCTATCGTTGGTGCATATCGAACCCTGAACACAAAAACGGTGGAATGAATGCCTGATGAATCTTCATTTGAGTTATTCAAAGCATTCGCCTTTCAGCAAAACAACGATCTCCCTCAGACCGCCGAAAATTGTGCGGAGGGGCTAAGCGCTCCCCTCCGC